TCATGTGATATCTTAATCGGTGAGATCTGCAACTGAACTCCAGACTACAAATTTATAGCCAAAGGCAACAACCACATCATGGCCGTAAATCAACTTTTTTTGTGTGTGTGTGTGCGTGTATTATAACATTGTTATTGTTATTATTTTAAGGGAAAGCACTATGGAGCCAAAATCAGCGTGTCCAATTAGGAGGAGGGACTACACGTTGAGCTCAATGAACCCCTTTGCTCTATCTGAGTCTAATAGCAGCAGTAACGGAGCCTAATCTAACCTGTCATTTCAAGAGTTATAGGGAGAACAAATTGCCGTCGACGGGGGAAAGGTTTGGAACGGCATGCAGCCTGTCCTCTCCTGACATCCTACTCAGCAAATTCCTCACAGATTTCCTCCCGATGTCTGTAAAACTAACATAAAGGTTATTTCATAAAACCTTGTGTGGATTGCTAACTTGTGAAAACCGAAGGACCCGTGCCCAGAACAATACAGACTCAAGTAAATAATTGCATTTGTCCTTTGTGCTTAAAGCTTAACAAACGAGGGAAACAGCGGAGAGGCTGACGAGTTCCCATGCCAAGTACCAATGCTGTGAGCACATATTGAAATGAATAGCCAATAAATGTTGAAATAAAGGTGACTGATCATATGAAGACTTCTTGTTTGACTGGGGACTGTTAGGAAAGGTTTCCAGTTTAATATGCAATATGATGAGGGCTGGAAAAAAACCCCAGTAGAGTTAAATGCTAAATGCTAAAGTCATTATAAATCATACCAGCTATTTCTTCAGGGAACACAATCCCTTCAGCAGATCAGGAATGCTGTTAGATATAGGGACGTGATCAGGGCAGACAGCAGGAGGACATTTGTTACCAGCGTTAGACTGGCAGTGTCCCCACAATCAATTCTGGGATCCTGGTGAAACGGCAGATAGGCAAAGTTTGGGGATTTTGGTATTTGCAGACTGAAAGAATGTCGTGCAACTGGCCAGGAACTTTTCTTCTTTATCACGATGCCATCAGAAATGCAGACGGATGTCCAAAATGATAATGCTAAGTGCTCCTTTCCAGCACGCAGTATTTCAGCCAAGATCACTGGTATGTTCTGGCTACTTCACGCTGCTCTAATTAAAACTCAGTCATCCTCACAGCTGCTTTGTATTCCTAGAGCACTGCACAACAGCTGGATCATGCCGTTGATTTTGGCCCTTAAACTCCTTGGAAATTGCTGTGTGAACGTCCAAACTTTGGCCTTTTCTGTCACCATTTAAGCTCGGGTTCACCTGCGCCTCTGGCTTCAGCACACACCACCTTTGCATTTGGGTTACACGTTGGAAAAGGATCAACATCGTAACTGAAGGCAGAGTAGGTGTTAGCGTTACCCTGATTTTGGCAGGCTTTTGCACACAAACAGGCTGTTAGGGGCAATGTCCCTGAGAGTGACAGACTGTCTGCCACATCTGCTCTGATGTGAGACTTGCTGTAAAATAAATCCACGAGTGCTAAAGACATTTTGGAAAAGGCCAAGTTCGACTTCCTTTAGCGACAATCATATTCTAATTAGTTAGTTGATACCAAACTGCAGATCAGTTCATTAAGCTGCTCTGCTGCTGTATTAATGAATTTATAGAAAAGTAAATTTGCATCTGTCCTTTGTAGGCTTGTATTGATTTACAACAGGTAAAAGCACAGTTTAAAGATGAATTCCTTATTTCTCTGTTAGCTTGCTTATAAACCTGTAGTCACTGCTCAGTCTTTACATGGCTTCAGGGATTGTTATCTCAGCTCCCGCAGGGACAGGTGGATCAAAGTGGCTGTCGTGAGTGACGATGTGACAGGGTGACACACCACCTTTCGTCAAGTCCGACATACGTAGCTAAGTGCATCTGGTTGGTTATGAAATAGTTGAGGTAGTTGACGTGTCTCAACTAGTCATGAGTTAAATTTAAAATTAACTGTGCACCTTCAAGTCTAACAGTTGAGTCATCTTAGCGCAGAGGAATCACTAACGCAGCATGTTACTAAGCAGAATACACTGTAATGTAATAATCTGTTTTCCACTGGAAAACATATGTCAGACAGACTTGCAGTGTTTATTCTTAAAACATGTAGGATGTTCTAGAGCCATGAAGCCATTCACTGTAAGCCATGAAAAATAGGTTTGGTTTAGAGATGAAAGTGGCTGGAGGCAGTGACCCACAGGGACTCAGAAGGAAACACTTAGAAAATACAGACAGATTGAATCCCAAGTGCTCTCTCCTGAGAGGAAGCATGGTTGGAAAGTTTAAAACCCATTAAAGTTAAACAAATTGAACAGCCCTATCTGAGAGGAAACATAGTACAATGTTTATTTTTCCATTACAAACCTGAGACCTAAAAGATTTCCTGAGGTTCTCAGGTATTGTTCGTGCTCAGAATGGAGGTCTGTTTTTAGAAAGCGTCATTCATGTGCTTAATCCAAACTGTTTGATGAAAAACACGCTGCAGGAGCATTCAGGAAGTTAAAGGCCATTGTATACCTGTATCACGTATTGTTTGGATAGGAGCAGACCTACAATGCAAGGAATCTCATCGTGAAACCCTTTCACTTGAAAACATTGGGTCTAATTCTCTCCCTGTGTACGTTGCTGGACGAATTCCGCTGATTTAATGAAGTTAAGACATGAGTAACCAATGATAATAAAAAGACAACCTCCCTGCTGAGTATGAAACTACCAACATGCAAGGCTAATGTGAGCATTGGCCTGAGTCAAGAAAGTAGCAAGCCATAGCAGGCCCAGTGCAACATCAGACAAGCTGATTAGTCAATGTATTTTAGGTTTTGCCTCATCAGTAGTGAATTGCTGCTCCGAGATCCTTATCAGGAAAGTGTGTGACGTTAGGGATGTTGAAAAGCATCTGCTTGACTACTGAACGCGCTGCAAACTAAATCCAGAGATGAATTTAAGGGAGAGGAAAGAGTTGGAAGCAGTGGAATATTATTCATTAGATCTGTTGATGTAAAAACTGGGCAAGTTTCAGACATACAGACCCTTCTTCAGCTTTATTCAGTCTGTTTGTTTAAGTTGTAGTTGATATTTCTCTGTGCAGATCTCACTTTCTAGTATCCTTAGCGTATCTTGAGTAAACTGGATTTAAGTAAAAAATTAAGGTATGAGAAAAATGTACAAAATTAAAGTGGAGTAAGGCAGCATAAACTCCTGATGGTTTCCCTTGTCTGTTATACAAGCAATCTCAAGTAGGATGAAAAATATCTAAATTTTAGGAGACCAAGTTACTTTTTACATCTGCGTTTGGCCCTGAACCAAGCCTAAATTTGCTACTGCCTTTTTATTGTCTGTGACAAATATCTTGATTACAAATTACAACCACAGTCTTGTACAGTTAAACACTGAAAGTAATTGCAAAGATCTACTTCAGCATAACATAGGAAGGTGACAGGAGAACAAGGTGACAGGATAGCAATACGGGTCCATATATAAAGATGTCTGACTATCCTATGCACATCTGTTTAATTACAATTATTAATGAAATACACACTGAGGAACCATTGTCAGTCAGTAAGACAGGACAAGACTTTACAGTGTAAATGGGATTTTAAGGGCTAGCAACCTCTGGGCTGATCTGCATGGTCAAGGGGGGAAGAAAGGGGAGAGGTGTTCATAGGAGAAGACAACAGGCAGGCGGATTTAGACAATTTTAGTTGAACCTGTTGTGTAGATGGTAACTTGAAAAGGGCCAATGGGTAAGAAACAGAAGAACTGTGAAAAGATTTTAAGGCAAGGGCAAGTGGCTTAGTTTGATATTGCTGAGTGGCATTCAGCAGAGGGAATTGGAAAAGACTTGTTTTATGAGGACAATACACAGGAAGGATGATTTTCACAGCTATGTTTTGTAGGACACCAAGGCTGTGTTACTTGTAAACTTAACAGTTCCAGGGCCCCCCTTCTGTCCCTGGGGTCAGATAGCACGATCCAGCCATGCTCGTACTATGAAACTCTCTTCTCTTCCAGAACAGGGTGGCTGCACCTGCACCTGGACTGGGTTCATTTCTTAACTGTACCCAGGAACTGGTTGGGAGAGTGGTAGTTTGCTTGGGCCAGAAGTGTGCCAGAAATTTAGCAATTCAGTGGGTCAAGTGCCAGAGCACAGGAACTTTTGCTGTCACTGTTTAACTCCCTAGGACAGCCATAGTCTAAGAGTGCAGGGTAGGTGCTTAAAAGGACAGATGTGAGCACTCTATAACCATGACTTGTCATTTCAGGGAAACCCTGAATCTTCTGGAAGGACTACATTGATCTGTTTACCTCTTTGCGGTTTCATGGCCTCCGTGCTCTTTTTCAAACTTCTTCTCAACTTTATGGCACTTACTGTCTCATAATCTCAAGCAGTATTTAGTTTAAGATGGAGTTTACCACTTGATTTAGTCTGCATTCCCCATTTTTCTTGGTTACCTGGAATAAAACCATTGCTTCACTCAGGGAAACTGTAGAGTGACCTTCCTTTGTCGTGCATTGTCACTTCACTCTCATAGAGAATTATATACAAGGAATATGCTTTTCTAAAATTTAATTGCATCCCTGTCTCTCAAGTAAACCTCATGTTCAAATAAGATCTACTTAACAACCTGCTTGGTTTTGTAGTGATGAATGGTGAATAATCAAAATTGACTGAAGAAAAGGGAACATTGGAAAGTGGTTTTTTATCATTTTCCTGCATCACTTTTAAGTTCCATACATTTAAACTCATATCAGCATCTTGACATGCTGAAAAAGATGGTTACCCTTACTTTAGGACTCTGTTAAATTTATAATTAATGCCCTGGATTCACTGTCTGCCACACACAGAGTTGTTGAAATGGTTCAACTTTCTACTGCTGCCTCTGGAGCATGGCAGTATTTTTCAGTTTATAGAAGACTGCTGTTCTTCCAAAAGGCAATATTTCCACTGCGGCTTTTGGTAAGTATTTCTGTTTATAAATGTAATTTTATGTTTGTTTCTTTCTAGGTAGGGATGAGATCCCGAAACCAAGGTGGAGAAAGCTCGTCTAACGGGCACTTCTCCAGTTCCAGGCCTGTCATCAGCCATGCAGAGAATGAAAAACTTCAGGAGGACGCCAAGAAAAAGAACAAACCTCATCGGAAGGAAGATGAGGTCATGGTTTCAGCAACTGTCAAGCGGCACTCAAAATCACCTGGACCTACTGAGCGAAAGAACAAGAAGTCCATAGATTTTTCTAAAGAGGACTTGATAAAACTGCTCAGTATAATGGAAGGAGAACTTCAGGTAAAGGAAGCATCTTTTTTACTATATTTTCTATGTATCTATTTATTTTTAGGTTGTCCAAGAAGCACAGGGCTCAACTGACAGGGACATGCAAATTTAAGGCAAGGGAACATAAGGAGAGAGCAGTGCTGGTTGGTGTTTAACAGGATAGTCATAGTTTTAAGGGCTGCTTTATTTACTGTCTCTATCTGCAGCTACCAAAGCAAAAGAAATTATAAACACCTGTCAGAGCTGCTGAAGGAAGGAGGATCTGAAGTCTTGAACACTTAAAAAGAGGCAGGAAACAACCACTGAGGAATCAGTTCAGAAAAAGACAAGCAAAGTGAGTGTAATTACAGCCATTAATGCAAATATTCAAGGGACAAATCTGCAAGTCAGTAATACTGAAAAAAGGACTGAAGATGGCCCTAGGCCCTCTGCATAGTCAGATGTTGCTCAGGGCTCAGCCAAAGCTCTGCCTGTCCTGCCTGGCTCCAGTGCTCTGCTCATTCCCTGCCTTGCAAAGACACAGTAGTTTTATTTTTTGGAGGAGTGCTTGCTTCAAAGTTTTCTCAGTTGTCCTGATTTGCATGGTTATTCAGCCCAGTAGTAAGTCCCTGATGGCAGACAGACTGGTTTTGTGCTTAACACACATCCTCCAGATGCCTAACTAGTTTTTGGGGTTCCCTTTAACGTCAGTAAATCACTGAATTCTCGAGAGTGTCAGCCTTCAGGGAATTTCAAAATAAAGAGCTGAAACATGGTATTTCAAAAAGTCAGCATGAAGACTTCTGACTTTTCAAGACTTACCCACTTTTGCGGTAGGACTGCGTCCCAAATTTATATATTCTTTTGTTTGTGCTTTAGAGATATTTTTCACTGAGCCTATGGAGAAGCAGAAAAGACCTGTCCAACTTGTGTGAAAACATTCTGTCTCAAGCCCTTTATTCTAGTTAACCATCATTATTTAGCATTTCATATAAGACTCTACTTTTCCCTTGAAACCCACATTTGTAACCTTTTTACTTTAATTTTGGACTTGTTGCCATCTTATCTGATGAAGAGAAGTGATTATTTTGTTAATTTCTGTGGTATATGAATCACCTGAGTTGCACCATTACCACAACGCTGAGATTTCATCTCATTAAGTATCATTAAGTATCACTCTTCCTGTACATAATTCACCTCCAGTTTGTCTGAAAGTACTTTCAGGTTTCAGGAAATATGCATTTAAAGTAAATAATTTTGTCACAAAGACAGAGAATAGTCATTTTGCAGTGAAAAACTGTGGGAAAAAGGCAAGAAAATGTGTTGAACACAATTTTGCAAAGAAGAAAACCTTTTATCATTACAGAACAGTATCCATTTTTATAGTGCTTCATTTTACTTTATACAAAACTTATATATGTCATTTCCTAAAGACAGAGCTAGCATGCAGCTTCAGGGTTGAATAGAGCCAAACCTCATTAGAAATACATTATGCTCAAGATTTACCCTGAAGTCACCTTTGTGGTCTGGAAAGGAGAGTGAAAGAAAGTCACTGATGTTTCCTGGGTGACAATAAATGTGATCTTTATTCTTTTCTCTGAGTAATTCTGTTCAATACATGGAAATGTGGCTCTTCACCATAGTCTTTTACATTGTGTGGGAGTTACACAGCCTTTAAAGGACTGCCCATGTTCTCATTATCCCTATGGGGATGCTGGAAATAGCTGCCACCTGCACTGAAAATCCTCACCAAGAGGATACCCCATTGTCCTGGACAATACTTTTAGGGATATTCATACACACAGACCCCACATTGATGTTAGGCACTGCTAAAGATACCCAGCATCATGAGATGATAGAGAGGACAACCACATCGGTAGCTATAGGGTGCGTCTGTTCTTCTGCTCCTCACTGCCAGGCTGAGAAGAGAATCATTATTCCTTTTAATCCATAGGAGTTTTCAAATTAATTTCAAAACCCCCCATTTTAGTCAGTTATTTTCCTGGTACCTGTGTTGAACCGTTACTGAAGTGGGCAAGCTACAGCGCTTTGGCTTGAGATGAGAGCCTGGCTTTGATGGTCCAAATGAAGATGAGCCAAGGAAGACTCCAGCCAAAGTAAACACCCTGGTATTGCCTCCTGGCTGTCACAGTGACCTAATGCACTGAGTCATTTCGTGGCTTTTCATTTCCAGATCTGCTCGGACATCTCTGGTGGCTGGCTGCCGTTTTGTTGGGCTCACAAATCAGACTAGGGGTTTATTTTGAAGCCATTTCAATACTGGCAAAGCAAACATTATATAGGCATAGGTAAGAAGATTTTGTTTAGATAACAACAGCAGGTTGTACTTGTAGGGAGATCCAGTATTTTCTGAATTAAAAAATGGGATAAAATACCATGACTGTTTACTCAGCAGCCATGAGCAGGGGAGATCTTATGCCTGCACTACCGAATGCAGAGTGGGTTGACACTGCCTTGTAAACCCCAAAGAGCGATCTCAGCCATGGGAAATAATCTGGTCATGGCAAGCATGGGGTTAGCAAGGTAAACTGGTAATGTATACATATGTATACATATGCTTCATGTGCTTAGTTCACTATTCACATAATCTAACAGTACAGCAAACATAGACCCATGCCATGGTGCTGTCAGTATCAATTTTGAGTCCTTACTTTGGGACTTGATCTCCCAGCTCTTCATTTTGAAGGTAAATGTGCCAGTAAGCAATGGAAACATGCCCTAGAAGTGATGTTTATGTCTTCATTTATTATTTTTTTTAAATTCTAATGACCTCAGGTAGCTTGCGTTAGCTTCTAGGGCCAAGTTGGACTCGGCTTTGCCTGTCGTCAGATTTCCTGGCTGGGCCCTGTGCACTTACTGAATATGGAGAAGGAAAGGTTTGCATAAACGGCTGAAGTCACTGCAGTCTAGGCCTTATTTTGAAAGAAAACTAAAGGGGAGAAAAAGTATACAGAAGCTGTGGTGATGAAAATGTGTCCCAATATACATGGCAGGAGAGCTCTTAAGTTCAACCTCTCTGACAGAGAATGGGAAACAAATGAACTGATGACAGGAATTGATTTTAAAGGCCCTAGAGCTCAGTAGAGTGTCTTTTCTCTTGTGAGCTCTCACTGCTCATATAAAAAAAGCAATGATTACATGGTCTTTAAACACATATTGGATACACAGGTGCAAAAAATCCATGAAGGATTTCTTCCTATACCTGGAAAATAAATCCTAATTTTTAAATACTACAAAACTGATTTGAAAATGAAACTTCAAACACCAGCAGAATAAATTGGACCACGAAGGCACAGTATTAATTTCCCTGGTAGTTACAACGATTTCAGTCAAACCAACATGTGAATGTTATTAATCACAGAGCAACACAGTCAGCGTGCACCTTTACAATGGTGATATATTCCTATCTGTGCTTCACAGGTTTTTGTCCAACAGCTTATGTATTTGTCCTGGCAGGAATATATTCCCTGCACACTTCTGAGCAGCAGCCATTAATCTCCAGCAATACCAACACTGATTTTCAACATTTCCTAATTAGGGGCCTAGAAGGAAATGAGGACCAGTATTTATACGTGTTTGCCACTCACTCTTCTATTGTGTATTTGGACAAAACCCAAACTAATACCACAATAACAGAAGTTCATTATGAAGACAGCATCCCACTACAAATTATTGGGTTTTCAAGAAAAATAATAGCCAGGTTCTATGCCTGCTGTCAGATGAGAATTTAAGCTTGGGAGACAGTTTCCTACACTGCATAGGAATTCAAATAAGAGCTACTTTTCCACTTGATACCTCTATTATAGCCCATGTTTTACTGTGTTTCTGCCATGCAGACATGGCATTCATTCCCTGCAGCTCAGCCGTTCCTGTTGAGGTCCCTCAGATGCTTTACGGCAAGGGAAATGCTTCCTGAGAGCCTGATGCTGTGGAGGAGCAGAGCTTTGCTCCTGAGATAGGTGTGGGATGTAAATAAAATAGATGTTAAGGTATCAGCTGCACATTTCTTCTGCTGCAGGCCTGAGGATGTGGATGGGCAATACATGGAACATGATGTCTTGGAGAACAGTATGTATAAAATACAAGTTAGATGTAGATTAATCACAAGTCACGATTCCTAAGAAGTCTTCAGGCTTCCAAATGGTCTAATCTAACAGTAGTTTTGGACTGACTTTTGAGGGGAAAGATAGCAGATATTCAGGGGTAAACCTATTCGCATAACATCTCTCCTTCAAGGGGAGAGACCAAATTACTCCACTGTCAAAAAAGCCCCTGCTTTTAATCTGTATTTCTTGAAATCTGCACTTAATGGTTAATTTGAGTGCTCACACAAGGTGTCAGACCAATAACTCCCCAGGAACGATGTCTCCTCTTGTCTGAGGAGCAGCAGCCAATGCACCTCATGGCAAAGTGTGTTCACCTGTATCTCTGGTCCTGACTGAAAGCCAGTACTTCTTGTCATGTCCACTTTGGTTTGGTCTCTCCGATAAGGCTGCTAGTGAAAACATCCCTATTCTACCTTCTTGTCACTTCTTCATCTTCCATACTGCAGATGCATTGACTGACCCATTTTCCTGAGAATCCTGGACGTAAAACTCTAGATCTGCTGTAAATCAAGTCCCATCAGCTAGTTCTTTAGGCAAGACCTTCATTTAAACTTTGTCGTGAATTTATCAAGCTGTGTTTTAAGACTAGGTGGGTTGTTTTCCTTGACTACCCCTATTGTAAAACAGTTCCAGAACTGAAAATCTTTAATGTTTAACAAATGTATTTCTAAATTTAATTCTAAATTTGCACCAGTTACACCCTGGGTTCATTTTTCTTCATTCCTGTAGCTGGAACTGCACACAGTGCAGTAGGAGAGCTCACTGGTGCCTTGTACCTTGAGTTTAGTATTCCCTTTCTCTGCTGGCATGGGTTTACTTGGTCTTCCCATCACTTGTCAGTCTGACTGATACAAGCCAGAGAGTTTGACTCTGTAGCTGTAGTTGTGATGTTTTTGTCTCTTTTTC